ATTTTATATATTTAAAAAAAAATATATCTAAATACACATAAAATATATATATATATATATATATATATATATATATATATATATATATGATATTATTCCTAATTAAATGTAAATATTTTGGAAGAGGAAAGAATCAATGGAAATTAAATAATTTGATTTGTATGTTTGTATATTTATCTCTTTCTCATTCTATCTAAAATGTAACATCTTAATAAATGAAAGAAAAATATTATCATTATTTTAATAATTTATATTTTCAATTAAAAAACATACATAATAAAAAATAATTTTGTTCCATCGCTTCATATGAGAATGTCATACAATTTTACTAATCTTATTAGATAAAAATATGTTAATGGTAATCAAACTTATTGGATTTAAAAAAAACTTATAGCATCTTTAATGCATAGTACTTGTGGTGTATCTTACTAATAAACAATAATGTTTATTAGTAACTCTTACTTAGTGTGATAACATGACATAGAAAATTGCTTAAAAATAAATGATGACTTTTTAATAAGTATCATTACTATTAAAACACAAATCACTCCAACAGATCAAAAAATATTATTTATTATATTTAATTAAATTAATATATAATTATAATAATTAAATTATTTTTTTTAAGTTGTCAAAAAAGTGAAATTTAAATAAAAAATAGTTATAATACTTTTTTAGTCTTTATAATTTTACTTATTTTATCTTTTAGTCCTTATAGTTTAAAATAAACATTTTTAGCCCTTATACCTATCATTTTCAATCCTTTTTAGATCTTATAGTTTAAGACAAACTTTTTTAGTCCTTATACTTACAATTTTTTTAATTTTTTAGTCTCTATTTTTTGTAACTTTGTCTCTTTTGTGTTGACATGACAAATGTATTAATTTAACTTTGTGTGTCTAATGTGAAATTTATTTTGTTAGAATTATTCTAAATTTGATTTCTTGATGCTTCGTATCTCTTTTGTACCTTTACATGTGACACTCGTTGTTGAGACATCATTTTTTTTACTCTCACAAAATTGAAAATATGTAGCACATTAATACAAAACAAACAACATTACATGAAAAAAATTAACGATAGAGACTAAAAATATTGAAAAAGGCACAAATATAGGGAATAAAAAGATCTATCTTAAATTATATAGACTAATTAAAAAGAATTGAAAAAGATAAGTATAGAAACCAAAAAATTCTAATTTAAACTATAAAGACTATAAAATAAAGTAAGTGAAACTATAAAAACTAAAAAAATTATTTTAGCCTAAAAAATGTATAAAAGTGTGAGTTACTTATAAAATCCCACCACTCAAAGAAAATTTATAAGAATATAGCGAGTTGTTTAAGAATGATGTAATATAATAAATCTTATTTAAAGTAAAATAAAAACCTTAATAAAATACTTATGAAAACTGTACTCTTATATAATGATTACAATTTTAAAGATATATATTTTTTCATTAAAGATGCTCTTTCTTTTAATAAAGAAATGCATGGACCTTAAATTACGTGCTGGTGAACATTATATGCAATTCAAATTTCATAATTATGACTACTATTCAAGGCAAAATTGATGTCGAGCAAGAATTATGTTAGGATATAAACAAGTCCTACATCAATAAAATAAGAGAAGAAATAACAACTTATAAAATACAAACATACTCCAATGATTAAAAGGCCTTTTGGGTAATGACTAAAAGTAAAACCGTGAGGGCTTGGGCTTAAAGCGGACAATATCTCATCATTGTAGAGTTATGTATAAAAATAACACTTATATAATATCCCCTCAAACAAATATCATAAAATAAGCCCCATCAAATTATGAGTATTAATTTAATAGATACACCACATGATCACAGTCTAAAAAGTTTTGTTTATATCTTCAATTATTATCCCTTACTCTCTTGACTAAATCTTCCACCTTAAACAGTCAACTTATAGATTGGTAAAAAAATTGGTGTACACAAACTTTTAGTTAATTTAGAGAGATCAAGATCAAAAGAAATTTTAATTATTTATAATTATAATATAATATAAGTAAAAAATTTAGTGAAATATATTTAATGTTCATATTTAATACATCAACAGACACTTTTCTCTACAGAGAATGGAAACGAAGATAGACAAAATAAGCTTATGAGAGATATTCAAGGATTTGCAATGACCATTTTTATGAAACTCTTATATAAAAAAGCTTGAAAACTTGAAAATATGGAGAATGATTACTGTAAAAACATATTCACTCTTTCTATAAAAAGCTTTGTACTTAATTTTTTTAATTAGTGATTTCTCAGTTTTAACTTTGTGTTATTGTTTGAAGTTTGAAAAGGTTTTGTTGTAAAGAATATTTGTTTGTTGAAGTTTAAAAGTGGTTTCATAATTCAAAGAATACTTGAATAGTTTCTTGAAAAGATAAGTTAAAGAATATTTAAGTTGAACCATAAGTGTCTTGTGGAAAAGTAGTTTTATCTTTGTGAATGATAATGAAATTTGATCATATTATTCAAGAATTAGACATAATTTCAACGCTTGAGATGAATCAATAAAAAAATATTGTGTGTTATTTGCTTCTGACTCTTTATCTACACTTTCATCCCACTATCACTTTAACTACAATGATCGGCAATGAAATTAGTGTTATTTGAAATATCAATGGTAATTGGTAAGCGTTGTTTTCTAACATTGAAATGAATATTCTCAAACTGTAGTGGTTATGAATAAGTAGGTACTGGATGTTGGTCAAGTATGGAATATCTCTTTTAAGTTTTGTCCTACCAAAGAGGAGATGGAAATTTTGAAGGTGAAGTTTAACAAAATTATCCATACTTTTTACATCTTGTTTTGAAGATTAAGATTTCTAGCATCCTCTGTTTTACTAAAATATATTTTTTATGGTTGTTTAGACAAAAGCACTTGTAACAAGGAGAATTTAGGGAAGTGCGAACAAACGTGTAATAATTTCTTTTAGTCATAGCATTGTTAATGATGGTCATTAGCAAAAACAAATTAGTAATGAAATTATATACGATACTTTTGCGGTTTATTCATAACTGAATCATGTCTTGGTTGTCATTAGATTTACATAGAAAATTCGAACATTGCAAATCCATTAGTTGTTAGTTCCTAGTTTAATCTATCGTTATATAAATATGTCCACTTCTGGACGAGTCATCATAGATAATATTAGAATAAATTACTAACCAAAAGTATCTAATTCTAAAGTGTTCCATATGTAGGGATGGATGGTCTCTAAGTCATTTTTTCTCATTACTATCACTATTAATTTATCATTAATTATCAACGTAAGTTCGGATTCAAGTATTGAATATTGCCTTATCTTGATTTTAATAGTGATAAGTTTTTAGTCTCAAATATAAAATAAAAGAGTATTCATTTGTGTGCTAATCAATTTGCTTAAGTGTTTCAACAAAAATTAGACCAATTAGAAGGTTATATGATGTGAGAATTCCTTGAACAAAAGAAATTAAAAGATTCACAAGACATTCTAATAACAACCTAAAATAAAATTCAATATATATCAAGGATTGTTGATTAACACAAGTGACAATGTCTATGCCAAGCAAGTGATGATTATCTTAAACTGTTGATCAGAAACCTTCAATTAAAACAATGTTTCTTAGAAGACTTGTCTTGTAGACCTAGTTCAGAAGGCTTACTTACTCAAAAGACACCTTATTTGTAAAGTGTACAAAAACAAGTTAGTATAGTGATGTCAGCAGCAAACATAAAGAACACAACAAGCTCCAACGGATCTATTTGTAGAGTTCTAATAAAGGGAAGATAATGGTCTCATATTGAAACAAGAAAGAACAAAGAAAAAGAGATATTACTCAAGCTCAACAAACTAAAATCTTTGTTGCTTCATCCTCAGAATATTTCAAAGAAATCCACTTCATATTTGTAACTCTGCTATGTAATAGAAAAAGAAGTGAGATATCTTCCTTAATAGAAATTCTATTGTAGGAGATTCACTTGTGATCTTTGCATTTTGCAAGAACACAAAATTCATTTTCTTGTAAACTCTTCCTAACCATTATAAAAGGTACAATGGTGTAGGAAATAACAGAAATCACAACAGGTGTTGTCTATAGTTTCATAACAGGTGATTGTGAGATTGTCCTTCTCAACAGGTGGTTGAGTAAAATTTTCCAACAGGTAATTAAGTGTTGCTACTAACACCAGGTGTTGTGTAATAGTTATATTAGTAGGTGGCTGAATCAATACAATAATTAATTGTGATTTTAGTGAAAAAAAACTCACAAAATTGTGTAGAGACTGAATATAGCCCAATTGAAATGAATCAGTATAAATCTTGTGTTCATTTTCTCTTCTCTTATCTCTTTAGTTGCTTTATTTGGTTTACATTGGGGAGGCTGAAAAAGAAGCTGATCCCAAAGCTAGATGGGGAGGAGTAGAACAAGAAGAAGAAGAGAAAGAAATATCACAGACATGTTGGTGAGCATATAATAGAAATGGAAGCGGTAGTATATACTTAATTATTGTAATTGAAAATTCAAGTAGTGGGTTAGGTTAGAAATGAGGAAGAGGAGAAGAATTTGTAAGCATATGAGAGAATGTGTAGATACATAAATTTCATAATTATGGATTCTGAAGGCTCATGCTTAATAATTATTGTTCTTATCATAAAGACCTCATACTCTTAGAAGAATATATACATATGATTAATTTATGAAATTATCATTTTTGTCGCTTTAGTTTCTCAAATTATGAAACATAATTTTTTAATCTTTATTTTTGTAATTTCAAAGATAAAAAAGACTGTTAATTAGCAAAGTTAAAAGAGTGTTATTAGGTAATTTAGTGACTTTTTTTAGACAAAAATAATACTATTTTTTTTTATAATTTTAAAGATTAAATGATCAATACTAATAATTCCAAGGTATTTAGTTTACTAATTGAGCCTTTAAAATTTAGATTGATGAGTGCTTTTTATTTTACTTTTACGTACAAACTGCTATTTTTCCTTTTTTTTAGATAGGATGTTTAAATCATGTTTTTTTCTCAAGTATATAACCATATATCAATGAATTGTAAGGCAGCAATCCATGATTAATCGTTCAAGAAAGGATGTTTAAATCATATTTAATTTCTAAAGTCCTTCAATTTTTCGTTAGCGGTAAACAGGATTTTAACGACATTTATAAAGCTCGGTAAAGTGTTGACATAAGAAGTGAAAAGCTTTTTTTTAGTGGCAATTGAAATTTCCACCAGAACTGTCATTAGATCTATTTATTTTTTCCCGGAAATAATGAAAGTAAATTTTTCCAGCACTCGCTAAAATTTTCATCATAAGATATAATAGAAGAATTTGAACTTTATAAGCTATTGAAAGATGTGTTTCGGTTTTGAAATGTCAGCTTGAGTGATCAGGTCAATATATGGAGCGAAAAAAGCAAAGTTCAAGTCATCATTAGTTAATGCTGATCTTGTTGAATCTTATTAACGAATCAGAATAACAATAAGATACCTTCTTCAAGCCAGGTATAGTAGCTGAGAGTGCTATGAATTTCTGCGCTATATCCTGTCTCCTTTTTCTCTCTGACATTATATGATATTGTGTCTCATAAGAGCTTCTTGCCCTTTTTGTTCCTCTACTCTTCTCCCTTCCCTCCAACTCCAACTCATAGCAACTTCCTGATTCCTCTTCTCTGCTCTTCAAATAAGAGTTATAACATTCTTCTTTTGGCCCGATAGCTGCTATAGTGGCGTTGGTGCAGGCAGAATCATCATTCATTCCCTTCAATTAATTAATACCAATATAAAGTAACTGAGTTAATTATGGATACGGGTTAATCACACATAGATCATTATGCTATAAATTAGTAAGTCTATATAGTGGGAATATTATCATTATCATGAAATGAAAACTAATTACCAAATGAGCGAGCCAGTTTTCCCATGAGTCCTCCATATCAGGAAGTAATGAGAGCATAATGCGGTCCTGATTTCTTTCTGTGCATCAAGAATATTCAAAATTTTATTTGAATTGGAATAAAGACGTAAATAGAAACAAGATAAGATGTAACAATGAGATAGCGGAGCATCTAATAATGGAATAAACGACTATCAATTCACGACAGACCAAAAAGCTGCTTGTTTGGCTGTGGTTGCAACTTGTGACATAAGGTTAAGATGTGGAGCAATGGGTGTCCATTTTCATAGAAAACATCCATGTGGCGTGTCAGTTTTAGAGAAATTATTAGATAAAGCTCATCACGTGTCTTTGATTTTGGCCTATGATATGTATTTAAATTTTTTTAATCTATAAAAAAACAATAACTCTTAATTATATATTATATAAAAAGTAGTTAAGATCATCATCAATTTCCTCTTTTAGAGAATATCTGTTTTTATCTAATTTTGCTCAAACTAATGCTATTGAATATGATAAACTCTTATTTATATAATTAAAATTTATATTCTTTTATCCTAAATATTTTGTTTTTCAAAACTAATATGCATATATAAAAATAAGCAAACATTATGCTCGTTTTCATAAAAATAAGTGACCAGTATGCCAAGTAGCTAGGGGGATAACTGTTCCACACTAAACTAGAAGACTCAACCAGTAGAGTAAGAGTTGGCTGAAGTCTAGACGTAAGACTCCAAATTAAGACGTGATTTGTTGAATAATAGTAAGATGAATGTGTTTTTTTAAGTTTAAAAGGCTTAAACATCGGTTTGATCCAAAACAATAATACACAAACTTCTCTTTATGATGTCTTGAAAATTATGACAACTACCAAGCAAACTATATCTTAGTATGAAATAATGTTACTGCAATATCATTATACCAAGATAATATCCATACTGCCTAAAGACGAACTTTATTATAGATTTAAACATCTTATACTAATACTTAATTATCCCTTATATTGTGTTTCAACTGTGTTGGCATGTGAATGCCTTAGTCTTTATCTGCATGTCCTTTCAACGATCACACCACACCATTGACGAGTGCCTTAAAAATTAATTCCATTCAATTTGCTATTTGCATATTGTTCACATGGACAACGAATTTAAGTGGCAAGAAGCCATCAATTTGCTATTTGCATATTGTTCACATGGACAACGAATTTAAGTGGCAAGAAGCCACGTTTAGCATGCAAGTACATTCAGATGCGTGCATGGAGATAATAATTATATATAACCCTTGCCGCGCAGAAGCCACGTTTTCCATGGAAGTACATTCAGGTGCGTGCATGGAGAGAATAGTTATATATAATCCGTGATGGATAAAAATTTGTGGAAGGAATTTTCATAAATAAATTTATACTAATATTATAATTTTAAAATATAAATATTTATCATTATTATTATTTACAAGATTTTATATTTTAAAAATATTAAATGATTTTTTTATTTTTAATATTTTTGAAAATAATTATTTAATTACTTAGCTCTCATATCAAAATTTGACCTTTTTATTTTTAAAAATAGTATAATATAAACTTAGGCCAACTATCATTCTTCTATTAATTTTAATTAACTATAAATAATATTGTATGTGCTAGGGAAGTAAAAAAGAGAAAAACATTTTGTGTCTTGTTAAAATAAATAAATTAAAAATAATAAAATACAAGAGTATGCAATTAACTTTATAACATGGGAGTTAAGTATTGTGCGGTGAATTGATCCTCTATGAGTATTTGTTGTTTCGGATATCTCACGTTTAATTTCCGCGATCACCATTCACTAATGCCATAATTTTTTTTGGTCAATTTGCAATTTGCAAACTCCATATATATGACATTGACTTAACATATTGCTCAAATGGACCACCAATTAAAGTTGTGCACCGAAGTTAGAAGTTTATCATTTATTTTTTCATTCTCATAATAAATATCATTTTAAGTTATTGTATTTATTATATTAATAAATAAATAAAAGAAAATAACAATTTTATATAATTAATTTTATCATTATTTTTTTCTAAAAAACAATGTAATACTATATTCACTTCCTACATACTAGTATTATTTGTTTGATGATATATAATATAGATTTTGGTACCCTATACGGGTTTAATATACCTTTTATTTGCTGTAAAAAAATATTAATATTATACGTAAAAATAAATAATTAATATTATATTGAAAAATTAATAATAATATTTATTTTAAAATTTATTTTTTCTTTTAATACGATATGAAATGGGAAATAATACATACATTTAGATACATAGGAATAATATAATTAATTTATTGCTTCTTTAAATGCGTTTCAGTGCAACACTCATTATTCTTCTTGTACACTATCATTCATTTCATGTTACCAGGGACGTATTTATCATTTTTTTTTTTCATGTTAACTTAAATTTTATGTGTATATAGTCAATTTTATACAGGGAGGATCAAACATATCCATCCTAAAGTTTATAGGATTAGATATCTTGCAAATGGTATGATTACCTGTGACATAATATATTTGACAAAAATTACTAAATTAAACTCTTATATTATCTTACATAAAAAGTTTAAGTTTAATCTCAATTTTATGGCACAAACTTATAAGATAAAAATTATTTTTAATTTATTTATTTATAATATATATAGAGAGATAGTGAGAGATCAAATGAAATTGATTTTAATAAGTTTATGATATATGTAATTATTATTTCATATCACTTTACATGTTTATCTTAATTTTTATTAAAATTGAACTATAATTTAAAAGTAATTAAATTATTTAATTTATATATATATATATATATATTATGTTAATTTTAACCTGAGTAATATATTAAATCATCTTAAATTCACATAAAATTTTATATAATAATCAAAAAATAAGGAATTTTTAATTTGACGATAATTAAATTTTAAAAAAATAATTATTTAATTAAAAATTATTAAATAATATAATAACTAATAAAAAAATTACTTCAATATGTGATTTAGCCCCTCCCTTAAATAATAGTAAAGTCACTCTTCCCAAACGTGTTAGGGTTAAAATCGTTACTATGTGTTGGGATGCAAGCAAAGTCTCACATCGTTCAAACAATAGGATGGACATGGGTTTATATACACATAGTTATCTTCATTGGTCGAGAGGTCTTTTGAGTGATATCCAAAAGCAAAATCGTGAGAGCTTGGGCCCAAAGCGGATAATATCTCACCAATGTGGAGACATGTGTATATGTGTGGTAATACCTGGTGTTTTGTTTGTCGCAGTTAGCAACCCCTGTGAACATCCGTTTGAGTGATTTTTTAGATCTAAATAAATGGGTTGTAAAGAACGAAGTGTTTTGCAAATGACAAAGGCATTATGCATTATTGGTCGGTATTTTACTTTCCGTGAGGCGGAGATTTGAGGTAAAGGGTTTGTTGATTGTGGAGTCTGAATAGCGGATTGATGATGGGTGATTTTTTGTTTTAGTTGTTTGTTAACATTGTTGTTTGGTTGTTATACCTTTTTTTTAAATTGTAATCTGAAGATAGCATATGTGGTTGTTATACCTTTTTTGGTTTAGTTGATCCCTGATTTTGTGTGTATACGTTTGTATTGCTGTATGTGGCCCCATAGATTGTTAAACTCAAAATTTGATTAGTTGAAGCAGAGAATGCAAAGACACAGCTGCAGCTTAAAGAAGGTGAACATCCAATATTGGGGATTTTTTGTTTTAGTTGTTTGTTAACATTTTTGTTTGGTTGTTATACCTTTTTTTTAAATTGTAATTTGAAGATAGCATATGTGGTTGTTATACCTTTTTTGGTTTAGTTGATCCCTGATTTTGTGTGTATACGTTTGTATTGCTGTATGTGGCCCCATAGATTGTTAAACACAAAATTTGATTAGTTGAAGCAGAGAATGCAGAGACACAGCTGCAGCTTAAAGAAGGTGGACTAAGTAGGTAGACTTTATGAGGAGGTGGTGGTGATGGTTAGGTGTTTGTGGTGTTTGTGTAATCCTTAATGTTGTGAATTGTTGTAGAATGTTGGGTTTGTTAACAGAATACAAATTTTGTCATAGTTGATGAATGACATGTGTAGCAGAATACGTTATTTTGAGGTCTGTAATTAATAATTACAAGAGTCGTGGCCAAATGAATTCATGGTTTAAGGAGAATGGTGTTTAAAACTCAGGTTCATTATATTTGTCTGCTTAAAGAACCATTGATTAGGAATTATAAATGATATGTAGCAGTTTGATGAAATGAAAATATGTATTTGTTAGTTGATATTCTATGTTTATTTGTTGAAACGTGAAATTGAACAGATTAGTTAGTATGGATTTGGTATGGGGAGTATAAATTTTTTGGTTTGGTTATGTGAAACGTGATAGATATGTTATAGTTATGGTCATTTGTGTTGTAAG